TATATATATATATATATATATATATATATATACCATTCTATGATATATGCATTATAATTATAATAAATTTAATTATAGTACATTTTCTTGAAAGTTTAATTTTGTACTTATTTCACAATATAATATTTATTACTTTTTAAATGTAAATTTTAGCTATATTTAAAAGCGTACAGGTAATATTTGCATTTTCTTAACAAAAAATTTCTCGACAAGCGTTGCTAACACAAAAAATAAAATTTAATTAAATTTCTTCCACATTTTTTTTCCAAAAAAATTAAAGATTAACTTGTTTGAGAAAATAATACGTTTTTTCATAAAATCGGTAAAATTACCTTAATTTAACATGTAATGCATTCTGGACATGAATAATTTACATCGCTAAGTTAAAGTTACACAGAACGTACGGTAATTTGTCTTCTATTATTCATTTCACGACGTTAAGCAAAGCTCGCCTTTTCATAAAACACGTGTAATTTCACGTGTATATATATATATATATATATAAACAAAGCGGTGATTGGTCGTGACATAACAACACACAGGAAGCTCGGACCTCGCGGCATTGAAACCGGTTAATACCTGAGCAGTGATAGCAACAAGCAAGCGCATTAAGATAAATGAGATAAAACGGGAACGGCAAATAAAGAGAGTCTATTTCGTCTTCTGATTGTAGTAACCAGCGCGGTGGAGAAGCCGAGAAACTTATTGATCAACGCCACCAGAGTGACGACCGGATACAGTGAGTATCGCGCGAATCTATCATATACAGGATTATTCGCATTTATGTTATACAAATCGGACAGTCGACAGTGCAGCTTCGAGGAGCCTCGAGTTCAAGCTGAGAAGATTCCTGGAGAAATTCCGCACTCGGATGCGCAATGGCATCCCGGAGCTGGGTATTCCTCCGCTGGAGCCGTTCACGCTCGACGAGATCGACATCGACACCGATAATCCGGAAATCGGAAAGTAATGGATTTAATAACACGCCATTGTGTGTACACTAGATTTTAAAAATTATAAAAAAAGAAATCCGGCGAACGAAATCCGGTGAAGCTTTCATCTCGGCAGTTTTCGAGAACACGTCACATGAAATTGATAAGATCAAAAATAATTTTGTGAATAATTGATCGTTAATAATTCTGTTAATAGTGGCACGTGGTTTATTGGTTTTTAGATTTATTGATTTAGTGGTTTATTGGTTTTAGATTTTATTGAGTGAACGCGTGAGAGAATCAGTCCTACATTTTGCCCGCGCCTACTTTTACCTCTTATACTGAGAAAAACGTCTGGTTGAAAATGAACAAATCAGAAGATTCTGAATAGATTAATCAGAATTCTGGTTACCTCAACTAAAATTTTAATAGATTTAAGCAGAAATTTAGCAGATTTAAGCAGAAAATTCTGTTTTCTCCATTTTCTACTAGAATTCCAATTAATCCAACCAAACATTTTTCACATTTTTTTTTTTAGTTTATCTATATATATGTTAAATGAGTTTATCGCACCTAAAAATATCTCTTATAGATTCGAAACTTATTCGTATGTTTAGATGCAGATTCTTGCGATTGCAGGGTGTTAATATCCCCGCAACCGGAATGTGTGTAAAATGTCATTATAAATCTATTTCTCAGAGTGTCCCTAGTTATCGAGGATCTGGAAATGAGGAATCTATCGACTTTCCTGATCGATCGTGCCAAGTTGTCGCTAATCGGCCCTACCATCACCATCAACATTTCCATTCCTGAGATCTATGCATCGGGTCATTACAACATTTCCGGAATACTGGGCGATACGTATCCGCTACGTGGCGCGGGTTCTTTTCAGACAACCGTCCGCGGCTTCCGCGTTTATGTGAACACAGTGCTGGGCTACGCCAGAGGAATGTACATGAAGAGATTCGACCTCGACTTCTCGTTACGTGCCATCAAGATACACTTGGAGAACTTTATGGGCGGCGAGGAGATCGGACAAATTATGAGCAAGGTGAGGCTAATAAGCATGCCTGGCTTTTTGAGCGAGTCTCTGCCCAAATAAACGGCGAATGACCCGTTTAAAAAATCTTATTTAATTTTGTGATAAGTGAAAATAATTTTTCTTTTCGTTGATTTTGGCTTTGAATTTTATATTACCAATCTTGGAAAAATGTATCACTTTATATAATTTTATATACATATATATGACTACAATAAAATTTACATGTAGATTTAAAAATAATAAAATAACGAATGATTCTTAATAAATAATCATTTATTAATAAACTATCATTTACTAGTGTATTTTAATCATCAAAGATTCTAATCAGAATATCTTTTTGGAAAATCTTTTTTTCAACATAAATATTTACTGCGTAACAAATATTAATAAATAACATATCAATTATACAATCACACATCTGAAAAAGAAAGGAAAAGTCTTTAAGATATTAAAAAAATGTTTATGTGTATGAAAATGTGTAATATCAAAATATCTAAAATTTCATATGCTGTAATAAAATCAAACGTAAACCTAAATGTGCAAGAAAATTGTCTTTCAAGTAAAAGAAATAAAATTCATTTTATGATATCTTTCATGATGTCTTCGTCATAAACATGATTCTGTACGCAATTTCCATACTATACATACGAACTTATCGCACTTTTGTGTAAGTCGTTAGCCATTTTACGGAATAGTTCGTTTTACGATCGGTTACCTCTCGTTTCCTATGATCGGTAATATTTATGGCAGGCAATTTTTTTACGAATATATCCGATTTTATTCGTGATGCACGCAAACACCATTGAGCCGAGGTCGCGTTTATCCCGCCATTGAAACCGAAATTCCATATCGCCTGCCGAATATCAATTGTACGCTCTATTCGCGTTTCACTTCGGCAGTAACACAAATCTCAACTGCGCAACTGACGATTTGAAGCGTGTCGCCAATTGATTACCTCCAAATGACTGCAATGAATCATTATTGGAATGCCTTGAAAATGTGAAACAAATCGTATTTAATCCGTTGATAATTCAACAGCAAAATATTACATGTATTTTTAATTACAACATGACCGTATGTAATACGTTTAATTTTTTTCTGTATAATTTTCTATCTTAAATTTCAAATTTTGATACGACAGAGACTCGGGATTGATGCTCCGACATAAAATTCCATCGAGATAAAATTAATACGGATTTCATCCGTCGGATTTCATATCGTCGAGTTAAACGCACGATTGTAAATCTCGATTGTAAAATTGATCTATTTCCCTTCGTAGGTTTTCGAGGATTTAACACCGGAGGCATTGGACATTATTAAACCGGACATATTGCCGCCAATTCAGGATTATGTAGCGAGCCACGTGAACGAGACGATTCATCATTTGACAATGAGAGATCTGTTTCACGTTCTCCTGGGGGAGTATGAATTCGGCGATATCACGCATTTATTGATACCCTGAAATGAATATCGAAAACCGTAATTGAGATGCATCGACGAATTATCGAGTCGCGCGCTAACGTGTCCAACAAGACCCGAATGCCTTCGTCCGAGGTGCAAGAGACAATTGCAGCCAAAGTACAATGTACATTAAATGTTGCATTCGAGTGAACAACAAACCGCAACGAGTCGAGGTGACTTTAAAGTATCAGCTTTGTATTACGTAATACGCTGTTGACCGCTCGAAGGTCTTTGACTATCTTGCCTGACGCTCATCTTCGACGACCCATTGTCTTGCCGAGGAAGAATTATTTTATTCGCGATGGTGCAAGGTTACCGAATTCCTTTCGTTCGTTTTTCTCAAACCGTATGTTAAATCAACTATTTCTGAAAATCCGAGAAATAGTCGATTCGCTCAAACGGATCGAAGACCTGCTCACTTAAACGCGTTAGATACGTACGGCTTGTTAGAGAAAAACCCGTTAAGAACTAGTTTCGCAGTCCGAGTTCGCTGTATAATTCGTGTGTTTACGTGTTATATGATTCAACTATAAGGCAGCTCATCTCGTTAGCATCCGTTTGGAAACCTGACGTAATTCCGTGCGAAGACACCGTGAGGTTTCTCGTCGCCCGCCGCTGCGAGTGCATCGGTGAAAGAGATATGTTTAATTCATCGAATCGCATCGGTGAGTCTCTCGGCGCATCTCTAATCCGCTGATAAAAGGCGAGCGAAAGTATTACGACCTTGAGTGACGATGGCGTCAAATCTTCATCTCTTGCGAAATCGACGCCAGCCATTCATCCATCTAGACAGTCAGTGATCAATGATGAACGAGGCGATACGCGAGAGGTGGTTTTACAGCGAATGAAAACGATCAGCAAAATGGCTCGGCATTCTTTTTTTACTGAAACTGTTGTACAGGGTAAGGCACTCAAACCTTTTAACGTGTGCCATACATCGCGCATCAATTTTCATCGTCGTATAAAAAAATAAATTTGGCGAGCGAACTTTAAAAGTCAGATAAGCCAAAATAAAAAAGCCATTCAGAGAACTTGCGCTTAATTGTTATTTATTCCTTTTTGCATAGATAACGTAATAAAAGGTTATTAATGAGGTACATAAAAATTCTTAAAACGATTAAAATGACAACTAAAAGAATTCTTGACCACTATCATAAATATTTCAAATACGGGATATAATTGTTTTGGATTTTGTCATTGTTTTATAAAGACATTTAATTACATGAAATTTGGAAGCGCCATGTATGACTGTAAATATTATTTCCCGCCTTTCAACAATGACCAGAGAGAAAGGTTATAATATAATTTAATTATTGTAAATTGCATGGAAAGAATATTTTTTATAAATTTATACGTTATTTATGTAGAAAAATTTTAAATAGACATTACGCAAATATATTTAAGCCGTTAAAATATTAACATTTTTTTTTAATTATTTCAATTATCAAAAATATCAATAACTTGCAATTAGAACATGCGAGCTATTTCCAACTTTTGGATTTCCGTAAAGTACAACGTATAAACGACATGTACAAAACGTAACCTGGCATGCAGTTTACCGGAACATCGTATACTATTAAGTTAATTATTACACCCTATGTAATTATGCTAAACGCAGTATGCGCCATAAATGTCGGTTAGTATTATAATTAGTTGGAGAGCAATGTGTGTGATAGCAGAATTAATGTTGATATTTTGTTAACTATTATAAGATAATCTAGTGACAATCTGCACTGTAAATGAAATCGCATCGTTTATTGATTAAGCTTACTGCAATTTATAACAATCACATGAGATTTATTAAATATTTTTTGATGTTACAACTTCGTGTATGTTTATTGAGTTAAATTCACAGTAACAAGTTTACGGTTAATTATTTCTGTGGGCAGGAATTAATTAAAAAGTTAATTTAACTCGCTTTTATCCATCAAAAAATAGACTGTTGAATACAAATACTTTAAACTGATCGATGTTCTAAAATAATTTAAGATTTTATAGCTTAAATTTCAGTAACAAGATATTATCGATTATATCTCATTTATTATTGACCTTGTTAAAAATTATATGATAAATTAAGATTGCAAATCTGTTCGGCAAATAAAGTTCATCTGATAAATTTTCTCACAAATCTTCAGATAATATTTTATTTCATTTCATTCTTAAGATCAATCTGGTAATGTTCATTGTTATGACAGTCATTTATAATCAATCATCTTTCATCGTTCGCTGTTTATCAGATGCTTTCAAACAGATTGAAGAAGATTTCTAATTTTGAAAGTTACCAATTTTTCCATTTGCGCATTTTTATTTCAATTTTTAATCTTTTATGAATAAAAACATTTAAATAGGATATATATATATATATATATAAAATAAATCATTTAATTTTAAATCAAGCATCAATAGAAAGAAATTCACGACATAACGATCAACATAATTTTTCAATTCTAATTATTGTTTTGTTACAATTGTTTTGTTCTATATTACTATGATAAATTATTCAAATTACCGTAGGTTGGAATTGCGCAATTGAATTTAATATTCCTTTAGATGTTTCAGCGTATACATCCATATATGTCCGTTCGCCAATAATTTATATATTTATAAATACGCAGTTGTGTGTATACCGCGCAGTACGAAGTAAAATCTATTAAGCTACAAAATCCATCTATTTCTGTGTCGACTGCCAATGAAGAAATATTATATCAACGTGGTTTATACGAAACGTTGGTCTGGCCTGCCATCTGTATTGATGGAAATTCAAATCTCTGCTTCAGGAGCTAATAACCATCGTGTTATGAATACGTGATTATCAGTAAAGTTCCTACATTATTCTTGTCCCATCAAAATACTCATCGGTTATCGATAGCAGCTTATCTAGAACTGTCGCTACCGTTTGTTTAACCAAGACATGAAGACAAACAATCTCCTTTAAGCATCCGTGAATCAGCGAATTTACGAAGCGTCGCATATAGACTCTTTGCAGATTCTATAAAATTATACAGAAGACTTTTTGAATTTTTTTGTCTAAAAATGAGATCACGTTGAAATAAAAAGAGCTGTTCGACAGATCTTTAAATTCGTGAATTATTCAATATGCAGTTCTTGAAGATTCATGCAAACAAAAATATATAATTGACGTACTCATAACGTACTCCAAATTTTTAATAACGTTGCTCAAAACAATATCGAAGCAACAAAAGTTACAAAAAACACGTTTATATTTATGTCGTAATATTTTTATTTTTTAAGTATAAGAATATCTTAATCACATTCAGTACAGATTAATTAATTTAATGCTTTCTTTAATGTGATAATCGAAGGAAGATTGTATATCGCGAGGCGCGGTATATACAATATATATCTCTAATCTATATTTAACGAATACTACTAAAAATAATAGCCATTGGTTAAATAAGCATGTTTCTACAGGATTAAATCAACGCGTGTTATCGTTATCCCTGATAACGTGAATCTCCATTCGCATGATGCTATCATCTACTTATGATCACGCACGTGCGTAGGCCCCTCCATTCAATCTCGCAAAGTGCCCATCTCGGGAAAAGTATACTTTTTCGCATAAATTTCTTTCCATTTGATGCCAAAGAGCAAATCAGAGATTGGTGATCTTTATTTACATTTGCTAAAATTAACTTCCATAAGCCATAAGTTTAATTAATTTTCGAATTATAAACATCAAAAAATCTGCACAATTTATTTTATTAGCAAAATGTAAAATTTTAATTAACTTAGGTCTCAAAATATCTCTGAAAAAAGGTAAAAAGAAAAAAATTTATATTCGTTTCATTGCAGTTTAATTGATTAAAGTTCGTGTTGCATGTTTATATTAAATATATATTTACGTTCTTTCAAATGTCAAAGGTTCATGCTTTTATAATTATTATGAAGGTTTTATTACTGTTATTATCAGTCAAATACTAATTTTATAGAATCTATTGAGATGTTTTCATTCAACAGCACCTTATCGGACATGATAAAATTGAATAATCTCGAGAGACTTGCACGATTACAATTTGATTCGGCGAAAAATCAAAAGCGGCGCAAGCAAAAGAAGTCGGATGTATTGCAATTAATCGTATGATCTTCTATAGATTTTTGATAGCAGCCTCGAGCAGAGAATTGAAAACTTGTCAGAGTTGTCAAAACTTGTAACTCTGAGATCCAACACCGCTCGTTCTTGGATATTGCAAATTAGAACAATTCACAAACAAAATAGAATGCTACCTCAGAGCTGAACCAAAATTGTCCATAAATTCGTTTTGAGATAATCGTATTTAACTGATTGATGCGTATAAATAGGCAAAATTGAACGCTCAAGACCAATGGAAAATATGCAAATTTTCGATGACAATCCTCGTCTAGGCAGCGTTCTGTAGTCAAAGTATCGTTTCAACAATAGATCACACGCATGATGTACGTATTCGTGAGAATTGTACCGCAAATTCAGAATATAAGCGACATTTCGTCGTCGGTCTACACACACACGCTACGTAAGCTTAATAATTACACCTGTTTACGATACCGACCATTTAATAAAAGTACAAAACTGTCGCCGGCATTATTTCTCTTGCTTCTCATCTTAAAAAAGAAGAAATACTGGCGAAAGATATACTGGCGCTCACACTTGGCGACGAGCCACGATCGTGTCTCTCGATATCACGATATATAATGTAAACGTTTTCCATTATGTGAGCTTTGCTAGGTATAATATTTACGAAGACGCGGAATTGCTATTTCGTCGGTAATTGATTTTTACGACGTGGTAGTCGTTCACCTTGGGACAAAAGCGTCAGGACGAACATCTCACCTGTTTTCTATAATAAAACTCAAAACTGAAGACGGAAACACACATCGGAAATTCTGTTTGACGCTTGTCCCTTGTTTAATAATATAGAATAAATTGGGCGAGTATGGGCATTTGTTCAGAAAAACACAAAAGTACGCGTCAGCTATTTTCACACTGATCGAAGCCAATTGCACTCTCAAAGTTACACAAATTTCTTTGCTTCGTTCAATTTTAAATTCGACAAATCTCAGGAAGAAAACTTAAAATTACATTATGATAAAATATTTTAGAATTCAGAAACTTTTAAATAAGTTTTTTGAACACGCCACAATTATTCAACGTTAAGAATTAAAAAAAAAAAAAGCGTTTCCTATTCCCCAAGCGGAAAGATGAAAGGAGATGTATACACAGAAAATTCCTTCAAAAACAGCAATTGCAATCAATATATATTATAACTTTTAATTATTAAATACTTAAACTGAAAAACTTGGAATTAAAAAAGTTTGTTGTAAAAAAGGTTTAAAGTTAAAAAAAAGATTATACTGTAACCTTTCAAATTTTTAAATACGTAATTTTCTAAGAATTTTTTATCTCTTCTATTTTTTTTTATTATTTAAAACTTATTACTTTTATTAATCTCTATATTCCTTCATAAGAATTTTTAATTTAGATAAAGAATTCGCCCGTTTACATTTTATGTGTTCATTTGACTGAAACATAAATAAAATTGTTTTCATTTTGTTCAAGAATAATAAGGGAGATATCTCCAGGAATGTATAATGTACCTACATCACCCTCTTTCTCACGGTTCAAGAGAGGGTGGAATATAGTTTGCGGTCGGCCTCTGGCCACCTTATATACCCTCGAAAGCAACAGTTGGTGGGGAGTTACGCGAGCCGACAGGCGCACAAAACGCGTACGTGGGTGCAACGAGGAAGGCTCGAGCGGGACGACGTCGGGGGTGCGTGCGAGACGGAAGAGAGACGGTGCGAGAAAGAGGGGGTGGAGAGAATCGGAAATCGGACGGACATGCGTAAGATCCGACAATACAGAGACGATATGTCTGAGGAAGGCAGTCGCGTTGAAACGGCGCCCGATGTCGGACGTGGGATTGTACGCGAACAGTTTTGGACGATGGTCCACGATGGACCACGAGCACTCCGAGATGTTACGCGCGTAGAAGAGCAGGAGGGAACGAGCGCGAGATAAATTACGACGTGAGGATCAATTTAAAAAAATTTTCGACACGCAACTCGAAATTCGTTGACGATGGTTATTTTGTGAAAATCAATTTTTGTGCGGCGATAACTTTACGAAGTCGGAGGGGGAAAAAAGAATAGACGATAAGGAACGATAGACGTCGTGATTCGAAGCTGTATACATACAAATATATATATATATATATATATATATATATATATACAAAATATACATCAAAAATATTTATATTGCGTGACGCAATATATAGCGACGAGTGTCCAGTTATATCACGCAACGTAAAATTGCTAGAGGGATGTTCGGAATTTTTCGAACGGCGAGACGCATGCATAATCGCGTGCTACTTGCAAACGTTTCTGCCTCGTGCTTATCATACATTTTTATTCCACAAGAATTATTATAAATAGTCAAAGGTAACGATAGCATGTAACATTTAACGCGATCTGTATTGATGAGAAAATTATTATCTAGTCCAAATCGTTGAAGTAAAAATAATATATGAAAAAAAGAATGAAAAAAAAAAAACACGCAAAATTTAAGGCGGACAAATATAGATAATTTATTTCAAAAAATATCTTAACTTGAGCATACATAAATTAGCATTCAATAAAATCATTTACCAAGAATCTGTTTCTCTAATTGCATCATGTTGCACGTTCCACTTTTAAAATTATATAAATAGTTAAAAAAATTTCTAAATAATATAGTGTTTTCAGTACAATAATTGCTCTTTTTGAAAGAATTTTCTGTATACATTTTTTTTTATCGTTTTTGCACTTGGAAAAATAGGAAATGTTTTTTTTTCTTTCTTTAATTCTTAATAATTATGGCATGTTCTAAATTGTCTACATATACGTGAAATGCCTAAGTTGATTTCACGTTCTATTTCGATTTAGGACAAAGGATTAAGGTACAAATAACCTGAATAAAAAAATGGAGATCCTGAGACGCCATACATATGGGGCAGATGACAGACGATAGATAATTATTATTATTATTCCTATTATCCGGGGCGCGTTATGGAGAGATGGACGCTTATCGTCGCGATATAAACAGGTGTATCGTCGGCGCGCGCGGCACATCGAGTGCGTTTTTCACGACGGACACGATATGGTGATCCTCCGCGAGCCGGTCGCTGTTTTTGTCACGAGATGTCGGCTGACAGTTGACGAGTCGTTACGCAAATTAGCCGCGAGAACACCGACGGATCCGTGCGAATTGGACGAGTCAACGTCTCTCGTTAGCGTGACGAAGGCGCGAGGCGGGAACGGGACGGGCAGGAAGATCAATCGAATATAAAAATACGGCGAGTAATTTTCTTCCGAAGATGTCTTCTCGCTCGGTGAGTACTTTTCCACTTTCAGTATTTCAGTAAGCGAGTAAACACACGTAGCAGTAACATATATAACACGGATATAAGTCAGCCTTTTCGCGCAGTTAGCACCGCGAAAACCGCGCACTTCCTCAAACGTCGACTAAAAGCATATATACACAAAGATGAGATTGTTGTGTTGAAGATAGACAGATAGATGATACCTAATGTACAAGCACATTATTCATTCTGCTTACTAAAATAAGGTGAATGATATGCTTACCTTCATCATACATGAATACCCGAGAAAGAAAAATATGATTACTCGAGCAATATTTTTTTTTTATATGAGATATAAACGTGAACGTTACACAAGATTCGATCGTAATAATTTTTAAAAACAGTATATTATTGTTTCTCCCTTCTCAACTTTAATCGAAGGTAGTGATTACTTTCGTTTCTTTATATAGGGCAGTAATAGAGAAATGGCTGCCCCTTTTCATACTCGTTGCTATGGTTTTGTCACGTGCTAAGTTGAATGACGTGCAATTCTCAATTTTGCATGAATTCGTTTTTTCATGCAGGTGAACGTGCGTTTTATTGAAAATCTCGACAAAACAGGTTTCTAATCATCACTGAGATTAATCTTAACACTCGATGCAACGCGGCAATTTATCTAGTTAGGCAAATAATTATACGGCGATGGATATCCATCTAATATGTCATGTACATATTAATACAATCATCATGATATCCTTGTGCATTTACCTTTGCAATACCTTCGTTTAATTCCGGCTACGTCACATTTGAATATTTGATCGTTATATCGGACAAGCGAACGCGATACGACGAGATCGATTCATTTGCATAACAGAAACGATAACATTTTTAAATAAACAAACCGCTATTTTAATACAAAGCCAACAACGATTCCCTAAACCGGAAGTTCTTTTATAATCCTCGAATCCAGACATCTTGGATCGCGCGTTTTCTCTCCTTGCTTCCCGAAAGTTCGCCGAACAAAGTTGTCTAATAATTATCATAAGTACTCTATGAATAACCATGGAGGTCGACGCTCATTGGCGTGGCGATAATCCGACGAGAGAACATCTTGAGACAACCTGGGCGTTTCTTCCCGCGTGCAATAAACCCGCGGTATTCGACGTGTAAATATACTTGATCGCTGAAATAACGTGACTTGCACTTAAAGACACAAATTTCGACTGCGTTTTTCGCACAGCTTCTGCGTGTCCTCGGCGGAGGCGATATATATTCAGGTGTCACATGGATAAAGTGGTAAGGAAGGTACAAATAGCTGTCAAATACCTGCGACTAAAATGAAAGACTCTATATATGTATATATATATATATATATATGTGTGTGTATATATATATGTATATAGCGCCGGGATTATTCTTAATTATGTCAGCGTGACAAATGCAAACGCGAATAAACAATAGCGGTGCTAAGCAGCTTACGAGAAACAACAGAGATTTGGCGGGACTGCTTGCTCATCTGACCTACTCTTTACACGCGAGATATGCCGACCGATTATATCATCGTTCGGGATATCGATACTCATCATCCGATACGAAGAAAGAAAAAAAAAAAACGACGCGCGCGCGGAACATCCGGCTTATTTTAGTATTAACCTTTTCTTACGTTGGCTCCGATAAAATCCGCTGACACTTGAGAAAATCGATGGGGAGATTCGCCCATGAGGGAATTGTCGTGAGGAGTTAATTATGCGAAACAACAGCCAAACAATTCTTATCGCGCTATTAATTTCTAAATTGCCGTTTGTTAACTGAATGTTATTAACCTAATTTCGTATCATTGTTACGTGATCTGAGCAAGAGCACGTTGCAAGAACGGATCGTTGTTTCCCTTTCCTCTTTAATCTAGATTCAATATTTCCCTACACGAATTTGTGAGACATATTTTCCCAAATATATTTTCCCAACTTTGAAAAGAGCAACTTTAACACGCTGTTATACGTGCGCGATTTATCATAGTTTTATCTTCGGCAAACTATTGTCTCTCTCGGGTAGGGGAATATGATTTTATTATAGTTACGCTTCGTTCAGGAAAGTTGAAAAAGGGATCTGTCAAAAGTTTCCGGCGAGTGAAAACTTGAACGTTGTCAATAAATAATAACTTGACGCGATCCATCGTGTTTTGTTTTGAAGATCGCGGCAATATCTTATCGGCGGTAAGAGTAATTTCATATATAAATGAAGATATAGATCTTGGAAGTCGATCTTAGAATCGCACGATCGTAAAGAATGTTTGTTATCTGCGTAATTAGTTAACACGCAATTAATCGAGACGGTGATCTATTGCTGTGTTCTGTGATCTATTGCACGTGTTATCTTAACTATGTCCGCGGAAAGATGAAAGGGAAGATACGTACGAGTTTGCTAAATTATACAGACATCTCAATTTCTGATCAATTTCTCTTACACAAGCGTAATGGTGATTGAAGCCGACCTAATGATAATCAAAATAATTCATCTTACTCTGTAAATTACACAAGAAACTCGCAAATGTAAATTAAGAGCTTCTCGTTCAAGTAAACAACGGATGTTAGTAGGTAGTAAAAAAACGATCGCTCTTACGAAATGTCAATGAAACGCAATTTAATAAAGCAGCGAACTTATTCAGAACAGTAACTGCACTGAATTAATCGAATTCTGAGAATTGAAAGTGTTCCGTTAGTAAAATTGCACGAGGAGAGATCATTTATGACAATAAAAGCCGTTGATTTATAATTGATGTTTCTGTTTCTCGGACTGATGGATCAATTCAATTAGACATTAATCGCCAAAGCTTTAGAAACTTGTAAAAGACAGAATGATCGAGTAAACATGAATAAATTATATGATGATCATTTTGAAGTACAATAATCTTCATTTTGCAATAACATTAAATTTAGCTTTTATGTCAATCATATCGTATTATATAATCTGGCACAATTTTACTCGTTCCATATGATAGTAGATAATGAAACAACTACGTGTAACATCCATGATATAACGTTAGCATAATCGAGACGTACTTTGAAGATGACATATTTTGATGATGAAAAAATAAGAACGATTATTCCTCAAATGTGCATAATTAATATTACCTGAACGTTAATTATTAAAGTTAGAATGTCGATGGAAACCGTGAAAGATTTTCCTTTAGACTGTAATAAGAGGACCAGAGATTATTATGCAAAGAGAATATTGTTATTATCTCACAAACTTATGTAATGAATTTTATACTCATTACGCAAGAATTTTTTATTATCCTATTACAACCATCTACTTTCCGTATTTAATTCAGTACAAAAATTCAGTTCAATACAAAAAAAAAGCTAGAAACGCCACGTTTGCTTTTAAGTTCTTACTATAGTATTATAGTATAGCTTATTTATACTAAAATCATATATCGAACAATAAAATGTTTACAAATGGAAATGTCATTCGACGACGACAAATCCATCAAGCTCGAAATCCGAAAGATTCAATTAAAATCGCTTCGATGGTTACAGAAAAAAAATCAATACACCAATTAAGAGACTTAGTGACACTTGGTTGATTTGTTCGCGCGATGGAAAAGCCAATTAAACAAATAATGCAGAATGCAAAGTTCGAGCAGAGGCACTCGAAGCACTTCCATCGGCCATCGGTGGAACTCTGATAAAATTTGTGTCTCGCGATTAACGAAAGCGGGCGGAAATCGATGGCGCGAATCAGAGATTATTATGCGCTCTTAATCGCTCGCATATCCGGGAGAAAGGAGTCCGTTATGTTAATCGGCAAACGCGATAATTTTCTACCAGAGGTAGATTATGCAAACCCGTAACATTGCTCGGGGTGCATTGCAAGGTCTAAATTCGATAAAGCGCACTCCGTCCCCGTCATGCACACACGTCGCGTTCCGTCTGCCAATCGCAAACGCGATTAAATTACGCGGGTACGCGCGCGTTCGTGCGACGCTTTGAATTTTTCACGGCACCGCACGCGAATCGATCCGCGACACGAGTGCACGGAAAATATTGACGTACTTCCACCGCACGACGAGCCTTCAATCCCAGTGTCGATTTTAAGAGACGAGAACCATCGATGGACTGGGGAATTGTGTGTACTCTCCGCCCTTGCATTCTGGCACAAGCGGAACACTATTGAAATATCGGCGAAACAAGATGAGACGAAAAGTGTAGCACTTTACTTGTCGCAATATGACGATCTCTCTTGGTACCAGTGTCCCAGTGGACCACTAAAGGAAAAGAAAGAGAGAGAGAGAGAGAGAGAGAGAGAGAGAGAGAGAGAGAGAGAGAGAGAGAGAGAGAGACG